ACACACACACACTACACACACACACACACACACACACACACACACATATATATATATATATATATATATCGGGATATTTTATAGCTATTTACATGTGCGCGTTTAAGCATATTGTCGCATGAAGGATAACACAAAGCGGGTATGTTCCAGTGTCACAAACGTTTGGCCGTACGATTTCTCATCCATTGCCCTACCCTAACTGTTCTGCAATTCAAAACTGACCAAACTATTTTAATTGACATAAATGAGATCAGGTGCATACCACAATATACCAGAAAGGCAAAAACATATACGCAATTGCAATGTCAACTATTCTCACCTGCTTGTAATAACCGCACATTTTCCAATAGGTTTGAGCGCAGCTTATTTGCTCGTATATTGGTGAAGATCAGTTTGCACGTGTAGATTACACCCAGGAAGACGAGCCCTTTGAGCACATGCCTTCGATTGCATATTCTAACGTTGGTTTTAAATCCCTTACTCGACATAGTTGCCCTTATATGCTGTCTTAATATTGACACATGTACCTTATAAAACCTTGTACTTCTGGTTAGACGGAAAGAAATAAATCGGGATTTGAATAGTCTACTAACTGGCTAACGCTGGATTCATTGAGGCTAGTCGCGAATCTAAAATCAAACTGGAAGCAGTGTTTACCTCTCCATAATTCTGCTACACAAGACTATATAAATTGCGAGCTCACTTCAATGACTAATCTACAGAGAGTGTGGAGAGAAAAGGAATACATTTAGCACATGCAGAGTTGCAGTCCTGCAGACTGTGTATTTTGAAGCATTTTTTTTAGGGGTTCTTCTAGTTCTTGACTTCTTTTCTATATATATATATATATATTTTTAACCGGGTTTAGAACATTAAGGGTTTCCAGCTTTTCCGATCGCCCTAGGTCCATGAGAGGAATGTAATGAGCACCATCGTTACCAATTGGAATATTCTTGCGTTGACGACTTGGTTTTTTATAAAATAAATATCTAAAATTCCTACAGACTCATCCGTTCTCCTTCATCCATATATTTTGATTCTATTTTTTTTTAAATGTTTTTTTCTTCATTCTATATACATAGAGAGTGTAAAATACTCTACTAGTAGGGATGGTCATCAAGTTTTATAAATACATCATGGACTTGAGGCCCTGAGCGGCTGAACGAGTGAGAGTGAGGCATTGGCCAGTGAGCCCTGATATCAATGATGTGTAGTGAGGCGTGAGCCGTGAGTCCGTGAGTCCGTGGCTCGTGAGCACCAGGCACCAGCCCGGTCCGCCACCAGCGCCCAGCGGGCAGTGTCTGAGCGCAATGAGCGGCGAGCGCGGCTGAAAGTTCAAAGTTGATATTTAAGACTTGAGACGGAGTCTCCACGAGTCCACTCTCCGAGTCTTCAGTGACGAGTCTCCTGAGTCTGTAATAAGCTCTCTCTCTCGTCTCTAATACTCTAGTCTCTACTATGTAATAAATACATCCTACATCTACACTCTCTAGAGAGCAGAGAAAGACAGTAAAGCTGAGTAAAGGGCACTGGCTAGTGACCACTGGGCACTGGGCAGCTAGAGCTTGGAACTTGGAAATTGAAGGAACGCTGTGTTAGAGACTACTTCTCTGATATATGTCGCCGTGTTATTTTGAAAAAAAATTATTATTGAGCCCATGCCTTGACATTGTGTGGACTGTGGAGCTATCATTTTTGAAATTTAGTTATTCTTGTCAGAGTACGACATTTCTTGGCCGGTATTTACTCCTTCGTTTATAGTATATTTGAGTCTTAGGACATTTGAGTCTTATGACTTATAGGCCGAGGAAACCGCTCTTTTGACTATTCTATATCACCTATAGGCTGGCTCCTGTCTTCACAATCTTAGCGAATCTTTATGTTCTATCAAGCATCGCTTGGTCGTGCATATTTTCTATATTTTTAATAGATATCTCATTGAATTTTTGTTTGAACTATTGCACATATTGCCCATATTAGTCAACCCCGACACTGCTGGTATCAGTATAAAGCGAAATTCAGTGTTTTTTTTTGCTGACCAGTGCCGATTATCGTTCGTTCACGCCCATCGTTTTATTATCATGCACGGAAATGATCTATTTACAATAGAATAACGATTGCAATCACACCAGACAACGCATTTAGATACTCAAGGGGAAATATGCCAGGTGCTGTTGACAGCCATGTTAGTAGCGGGTCTTCCGGCTTCTCTTCATCTTTAGCTTCTGTTTCCTGAATATTCGACGTTGAAGGTGTAACGGATACTACGTTTTAATGAAAAGAAATATTGACGAGTGAATACGACAGCTATATAACGATACAAATAGGCATATAGCATCCAGGATGCGATCTATGAGCATCCAGCAATACCTTGTTCCCTTCCTTTTCTTCCTCGGCACTGTTAATTAGATCAATAATAGTTAGATCTCCCACACTGGATGGTACTTGAGGTACGCCATTCTTATCTATTGTAAAGTTGGTAGGTACATAATCCAGTACTGGTCTGTTGAAACCTGCAAATGAGATAAAAAGAGTATGCCTTCAAATCAACACCATTGGATCTGAGCTGTATATGATGAACAATATGTTATATTTATGTGGCTGACCACAACATGTGCTCGAGACTATAGCATATACATCAGAAAACAACCAACTTGGTTTCAACGGGAACACACCTGTTATATAAAAGTTTGTTGTCACAGTACTCAAAAATTGTTCAGTGTCTCCATTCCACTGCTCACTCTGGCACGTGCTGGCCGGCTGCGGTACAATTGGAATGGTGATTTCAATCGCTTGACAGAGGAATGCCGGCTGTTCTACAACGATAGCGGTGGCTTTTGCTTCAAACTCACCATATCCCATACTCGTACCCAGTGTGTTCTTTCCCTCGACATATGTCAGCTTTTTTCAAACATTTGAAGGAAAAATGATACTTGCTTTAAAAAAATGTGAAACTCGTGAGTAGAACACCAAAAACCCTAGTCAAATTCAGGGCTTATAGCACTTTAATGTTACTAGCCTCACAATAGTTGAACAGAGCATCTGCAAAATGGGCTAAAAAGATAATTCACATACCTGACCCGAGCAATCATTTGCTATCACATGACGTGTGCTATCTATAAATCGCACGTGTCCGCGGGAGTTGGTTTGGTAGGTGTATACCTGGGATACGTTACATGCAGCTGTCCATAGTTTAACCTCAACATTCAGCGCGAACTGATTCTCGGGATTCAATCTGAATAAATTTTCAGCCGGTGGATACGCCACAATGACTAGTTCTTTTTGTGTGCTAAACTGAAATTGAAGCGACCATGGCGTCGTGACAGTCACCAACCCTGAATAGCACAATAGCACAGTAGTCGATGACAAATTTAGCAGAGCACATACGATAGCATAATCCAGTAAGCAACAGTGTGTATCTGCAAATGAATGCACTTGGCCCCGTGCCCCGTAAAATATTATTTTAACGTAGCGTAGTGCTACAAATATATGAGACTATGATATATACTCGGTATCGTTTTCGGAACATATGAGCACAAGATATTCGCGGCTCAAATATAAAGAGATACTGATCGATTACCTAAAGGGTTGCACTGGTATCTATCTGCGGCTCTAGAACAGTCAACTTGTGCTGATAACTGGAGACCAGACACAATCGAGCTGCTGATAAGCAAAAAAATCAATGGCTTCAATGTGATCATGATGTTCGCGCTTTTAAAAAGATGGCGTCAAGTGAAATTATCAGTGTATGTCAGCATGTTTATATACGATATTAAGCGAAAAGTCGTATTACTGCTCGCGAGCCAACTGAAGATCACATGTGGTAAACGCCGGGTTGCACACAGCGGCATAAGTATTTCAGGCCTGCTTGAACACATTTTTATCTCGCCAGAATGATTCTGCCGCTGTTGATTGTCATCCAGTCGTGAACTTGCATTTCACGTGTGCAGACACTTGACACACGCGTGTAAACAGACACTTGACACACGCGTGTAAATTTTAAATTTTTAGTTTCGTGAAAACAGATCCATACTGTTCTATTCCGCGTATGTTGGATCAAATTAATTAATACCCTCCTTAGATCATTGTGTGAAATTTTATTTATTTAAAATCGAATATATATGCTTATGAATGCTCCGTATTTGATGTCACGAGCTGTTCACGCGTCTCTGAGCGTACTTGTTTAAGGAACGGCATAATTGACGAGCCTGGGGAAATAAACATTCGAAGAATATGTCAGCAGTTTGACATGCGAGAATAAAAGTTCGAATATGTGTCAGCAAGCAACATGCAGTTTAGTGTATACAATAACCGCACGCAATTTTTTTTTAAACTAATCTTACCTCCAGTCCCCCTGTAGCTTGCTAAGGATGGTGCACGTTTACTCGCCGGCGTTATGATATATGTGGCTACAATCTGCGGGGTTAAGGAAGAAAGAGAAATCAATTCCCGCACCACGCACAGTGGCAGAGCATTTGAAATGCAAAGTTAAAGTACAGATGGCTCAAGCTCGAACATACCTTAATGTGTTTTGTCCTGAAATTTTCTAGTGCAAGCACAGCGCGATTGTAGCCGTGCTTAGCGTCTGCGGATCCATGCGGTGATTGAACGAAGCCATGAAGGCTCGGTGCCTCCATCAATGCCTCCAGAAACTCGCGATGTTTCCTCGGCATATACTCACGAACAGTTGAGATGTAAGTACAAACTGAGTCCACTGAGGGTGTCTCAGCAAGAATTTGCTTTACATCGCTCGGAGACTCACCGTCTGTTACTGGTGGAGATTCGAGAAAATCCGCACCCATTGGACATTGATTGGTGGGGCTATGATGTACACCCAGAGCTATATCGATGCTCTGTATTAAAGAGCTCTGCACGCAAACGAAACAAAAATTTAACATTGATCTGTGTGACATGAACAAATCGAGTGGTTGGCAAAGAACACATGGGAATCATTAAGAATTCTTCAGCACATCGAAAATACGCTGACTATTGTATACCTGTCCAGCACTTCCACCCGCGAAATAGAATGGTGTTTCACTGACACCTTCGTAAACCATCCCATTTGGCAGTACGGGGTTTCCTCGCCATCCGCCGAAGTAAGGCCGCACATCATCATAGTAAACCTTAGCATCGCACTTCTCAAACATTCTTACTATAATCTCAGTCATTTGGTCGATACGATCTGCCAGCGTATTCATTCGTTCTGCTACAATCATTGCATTCAAGTTATTCACCGCCTGCATGGCATCCGTTATGGCCTCCAACGCAGGTCCCCCCAAGGCCTCGATGGCTACTGTAACCAAATAAAACCAAGCCTCATCCATACACCCATTAAAGGTGTTGAGCGCGGCAAGATTTGTTAGGTCTAATGGCCCCTCCGCGTCCAACCTTCTCCAGTTATACATTACAACGGAAGAGTGAGTAAGAATCGGTTTACAGCCTAAGGACTTCGAAACCTCCATCCAGGGAACAGCCAAGTTTGCAGGCAGAACGTGGCACGGGTTAAGCTCTCCTTCGCACCAGACGTAGGTGTGGTTTAGAAAGCTGAGCAGTGAATAGGCGCGCTGGAGCTCGGCATCTGTTGTTAAATTCGTCGCATGTAGTAGCGGAAGCTTGTTCAGCTGTCGGCGAGCGCAACCAGCCAATATATAATCCGGAAGTTGCCTTGCAGCATCGTCCCAACAATTGTATGGGTGCTGTAGGCTTAGTAGTGGATCCTGATTTAAAAAACATCCGTGTTGATTAATACGCCTTACAGCAATTTAAACTCTACTAGAAGCTATAAGTGAAACGCCTGACTGCAGTGACAGCCTGTACCAATATATAATGAAGTTCTATACAGTTAAGAACGGTGGCGTCAGACATTCTTACATCTAGGAATTGTGGGCCATCTCCAGACATAAATGTTGAATTCATATATAAGTGCCGTGTTCGTACTTACATGCTCAGGGAGGAATCCTCTCTTGCTGTTGATATCATAGTCTCTGAGCGAAGGCACAGGTCTTTTTGTAAGCAATGAATAAGTCATACTTCCGTGGATTCGATTTTCTGCAAAATAACATGATGTAACGGTGAGATTACAAACGCATGTTACTCGGCTGAAAGGAATGCTATCTAAAAATCTGACGCATACTTAACTTTCAATAATATCAAGCAGGTGCGATATACCGAAGGATGTCAACCAAGAAATAAATCAATAATGCTGAACGTACTCACCGAAGAATAAATTCCAGATATTCCCAGTCGAATGTCAATCCAAGCTGCGCAGTACAGGAGTGACGAGTTTCTTCAGCTAAAAAATACCGATCAAATGCTTTCAAAAATAGCATCAAGAGTTCAAATTGTGTCTCCCACTCTGACTGTCTACTGTCTGACAGTCACTTCTGGGCTAGTTCTGGGCGGAGTCCCGGTAGGCCGGTATAGAGTCCCAAACTCGCCGGTCAGTGACTCAGTGGTCACAGCTTTTTACCTTTTTCCGTCTTGAGATGCTTAAATTTTGATACGTCACCAAAAACGTCGCGCACCCAATACGATCGCAATGATTATTGTGTCCGCGAATGGTTGATTTGGCAGATATGCTTCTATTGTTCTTTATCGTAAACTTGGAAGAAGAAGAAAAAAAAGCAAAACTACACCCGCAGAGTCGGCAGAGACATTTGTGGGATTATTAAAATAGTATATTTAAAAAAATTCTAAAAGAAAAAGAAAATAATAGAAAGTAGCTGATGAATAATAAACGATAATAGCGGAAACTGTCACGACTCACGAACGTTTTTTCTCGGTCAATTTTGGAAAAAGACACCCCAAATACTGTGGAAAACTGGAACCTGGAAATACACATGATGCTACAATATGCTCAAAGACCGTGTCGTTTACCAGCAGAGAAATTAAAGCTGCACATAAATACAAAATTTCTCTTTTAGTTTTTTTAAAAATAAACAACAAAAATTCATGATTTGTTCTATAGGAGGCTCTCAGCCTCTCTCTCTAGGTATTGTCCTTTATATATAAAAATGCATAATACTCTTCGTTGATGACGACTTTGCGACTTTGCGTCTTGAGCGAGACTGCGGTCGCCGCCGGTCTGCGAGAGAGTGTGAGTCTGACTCTGTGAGAGTGCAAGTCTGCGTCACTGAGACTCATTGCTGACACTTGACATTTGACATTTGATACTGACAGACTACTGAGTGCTGAGTGCTGACGCCTGAGAGTCCTTGACTGCAGTGGCTAAATAGTAGGGGCCCCCAGCGGCCCAGCGACGGCGGCAAGCAGGCGCAGCACAGGTCACAGCCATGAACCTCTAGAAGTGTAAAATATAAAGACAGGCCGGCCGACTCTTTAGCCTGGTACAAAAGGTTATGTACCAAATCCGCTCGTATTTTCATTGGCTAGTCCAGAGCGGATTCCCAAAATAGACTTAGCCAGCCAAAATACTTCATCAAATCAATAAATACTTGCTATTGGTCGAAATTTGGCCGCGGCACCAAAACAACATCCCATCACAAAAGTGAAAATATCGCTGATACTACCAAGTTGGTACTAAAACACACATAATATCGTATCTGTGTGCACACGCACGTCGTTATCTTCTCTATCACCGCAACCATGGGTAAGTGTGCGGTAGATTTGTGCACTTCAGGCTAAGATGGTGACCATACCCACACTTATAAGTTTCCAGCGCTCGATGATCCTCAATTTCAACTGTGGAAACGCGCTTACCCTGTGATATGGCCGGAGAACTATTTCACAACACCATCGCAGAAGCAAGGGCAAGACAGAAAGTATGTCACTAGATACTATTGTGAGTTACACTTCGACGGTAAGGACTTCCAACCATTGACACCAGCAGACCACTTGGCGCATGCTAAGAGAAAGCGAGGAAATAATCCATTGCCAAAACGTAAGCTGTGGCATAAGGCTGTACCATCAAAGAAAATCCCGACATCTACACACGCTCAGAGTTTGGTTATTGATCATGACCGTGAGGCGAGAAACGTTGCTCGTGAGAGAAAAGACAGAGAGGAATAGAGCTGGTGTTGCAGAGGCAAGTAGAGCAGGAACAAGAGAAAGAGAGACAGGCTGACCTTATACAAGACTTGCAAGAACTTAAGACGATTGCCCTGACTGGCGAGTGGAACAGAAAGGCGATGATCGTTGTTTCTATAAGGTTACACAAATAGATGTACCAGACACTCCAGTACCTTCATTTGTTACTTACGCTGTCCTTATAAAGCAGGATCTGTCAGTGAGTGTTTATCTCCCACAATCAGTTGGATCACTGCCAGGTATACAGAATTGTAAGATTCGGTCTAATAAAGGCGATACTAATGCCTAAGAATAAATAAACGCGTAGGTAAATTCTAAGTATCGTGTAAATATTAAAGTAAATAAACGAAATGAGACTTTTAGTAAAGTTAGGTATGCCTCGGGAAAACAACAATACTCTGAGGGATTGTGAGGCTGAGACATTGCCTATATATAGTCCTCTCAGTACTGTTTCCGCCGAAGGGATTTTATTTAGTGTTTCGTTGTCGCTCTATTAGAAACTAGGGTATGTTTCATTGGGGCGAATCCGAGGGACTCATAAAATCCTATCTTTAGAAGAAGAAAAAAGAAGAAGAAAAATACTCCTGATGTCCTTAGTTATTGTCTTAACCAATAACATGATTACCAACTTAGCCTTCATCAGACTGGCACATCTGGTAGGTTGATCGGAGGATCAACTAGGTAACGTTAATAGTCCCTAGAAACCTATATTCGGTTGAGCTATCACGCTACCAAAGTATTCAGATATAAATAAAGTTGGAAAGTAAATATAGTTCTATTAATATCACTAGACCAACTCTTGTGTTTGGTATTTTACTGAGGCCTTTTAATGGCCTCGCCCAAATATCTGATATGTATAATGGGAAAGGTACTAATTAATAAAACCATTAAAACCCATTTCAGGAAGCTTAAGTTCCTCGTGCTATTAAGAGTACATTTAGGAAACTTAAGTTCCTCGTACTATTGAGAGTTCGTTTATAATTTACGTACTGCTTAAGAGTACTTTTATATCATATAATCTAATCCGGCTTATTACACAGCCCCCACTCAGCTTTAAGACCCATTAGTAGCAAGTTGCTCACTCAAGCTGATTATGGGTCAAAAGGCGAGAAAGGAAAAACAGGTCGAAAACAATAGGTAGCATAACACATAAGTAGTGTTTCTCAGACGGAGAAGTTAGGTGTTTTCGGTTACCCTATGAGTTTTGGCAGTAAGTCCGTGGTGGTCGACTGGATATTAACTTCTGTGCCTTCAGGCGATGGAAACATGCTATCTTTTTCATCTTGCAACTTATGCAGGCGTTTACGCTATTTTCGATTAAAGGCTTTTACATAGTCTTGATATCAAAAGCATCTGAAGTCAACTCAGCTATTGTACCGTCTATATAGCGTGTACGATGGTATGTATAGCCTCCCTTATTCGTTCTCCATATAATGTCTTTAAATTCAGAACGATCAAGAGGGGCATTAGAATCATATCTTCTTGTGAGTATAATCTCGGTAGTCGGAATACGACTTGTGTCTATATTAAGCGCACTAGAACCATCGGGGTTACTTACCTCGTACGTTCCACTTTTAGTGTCTGCTACAGAGATTATATATGGATCTATCCGTTTAGATGTTAATACAGTAGCATCGGAATTACGCTGACGGATGTTAACTCTGTCACCAACCTAATACTCTGCTATCTTCTTGGTAGTGTTCCAACGCTTTTGCCATTTTTAATAAAGCTAATTGCGTATTTCTCGCAAGCAAGGATATACAACGTTATAAATACGTTGTACCTTCTCTAACCATGGTAACTCATGGTGATCAGGTTCGTCCTTATTAAAGGGGATTTGTGACTCACTATATCTGCCACGAAAATAGTGAGCGGGTGTAGCTCCTGTAATCGGATCAACACACTCGTTCATGTGTGTGTGTACCCACTTAAGGTGGTACTGTCAATTATCTGCATCATCCGTTAATGCAGTACGCAAAAAGAACTTAAATCTTCTATGGCGCGTTTCATTCGCGCCTTGCGTTTGCGGCTTATATGGCACACCTCTCTTATGGCATATGCCTGAAACGAGTACTAGAGATTCCATTACGTCATCGCAGAACTCACTACCGTTATCAATGCACATAATACCCGGCCACCCGTGGTCAGCAAAGACTTGGCAACATAATTCTGCCACGGTCTGCGTATTCTTATACTTTAATGGATAGAGCAAGTTAAACCGTGACGCCACATCAAAGAAGTGGCATACGTAACGGTCGCCCGTGTGCTCGGACGTGGGCAGGTCAACCAGATTAATGATGACCATGCGCCATGGAACATCTTCAGTCACACTCTCAAGCGGTGCGAACCCATAGCGCTTGATCTGATTGAGATCACAGTCTGTGCATGATTGATATACTCTGTCAACTAAAGTTGCCAGCTTAGGGTGCGCGATCCCATGTCGCTTAGCATCTTTAAGTGCTTCTACTACGTTCTGGTGCTTCAGCTTATGATTTTGCTTCAGCCGAGCAAGAATGTCTTCATCATATTGCTCTTCTAGAATAAAGGTAGGGTGTTAAGAATCAACTTGCGTGGTCTCTAAGTCTGTAGTGTTTCCAGACTCATGTCCTGCTTTTTCATGAGCGTCATAAATGCGCTCATGTGCGTTAGATACACCTGACTTATTAAATAGTTGCATTATATGTGTATACGCTTCAGGATTGTCTTTCATTAATCCCTTTAAAAATAGGGTTTGAAAGACCTCGGGCTTGGACTTTATGTTATTAAACAGAGTCCTAGCTAGAGACTGACGCTTCTTAACAGTGTCTTTAGTAGATTGAATTTCTTGTGCACAGACGTTAAATGCTGTGTTGCCTTTGAACTGCTTAACGTTCAATTGGGTGGCGAGTGGAATCTCTAAATCATCAGCTAAAATGAGGTGAGTTGTTTGTGTTCTCCTTTCGATATCTTTCATTAATGCAAAGCGATCGGATATACATGAAATCTCTGAACCAGGATCAATCAACGCAAGGATTTTATTTACATTGCAATATACAGGGATTATTACACGCTCGTCTAAAGTGTCGTTGTATTGTCTGTGTAACGATTGTACCTGGTAGTACCTTCACTCCAACTTAATGTTGGGCTTTCTGTCACAAGACTTAGTGTGATAACCATTGGTCTTCTCACACTTGTCACACTTAGTAAGAAAGTGTGTACAGGTGGATGCATGTCTGCCATTCCAATAACCGTTAGGAGTTAA